TTTAGTACTGGCCTGAAGCAGCAAATAGGAAGGACCACGTGCAGAGCATTAGGCATTGTAAGTATAGCCTGTGATATCATAACATTATTGTAGCAAAACAGGCTCACCAGGTGCCCTGCCTTTGGACTTGGGCTGTAAGTTGTTATCAGCTTGCATTTCTCTTAGCTTGTGTTTGAAGCATTGCATTATTCACCAACTGTAGAGCTACAATTTCATGTCCAAATGGCCATCTGGTGCCTTTTTTCTGTGACCATTGTTAGTTTTGTTTGCCAATTGTTATAGCTTCTGTTTCATCTAACAATACTGTAAAGTCTCTGAGCTGCTAACTTTTTTGCTGCTTGCACCTTAGTTTTGTCTACTTTTACATTGCAACCCATTGTTTTCCCCGTAAAAAATTAAGAATAGGAAGCACACATGCAAGGTGTGTTGCTTAAAGGTTTCTTTCACGTTCTTCTCATCTATTACAGTTGCCTTATTTCACTGCTTGTCTTGTAAAGCCATTTACTGTTCTTAAGCATAAGAGTACAGTTACTAATTTAATATGATATGCAGTCATTTGCATTTCTATTTTAATTGGGAGGCAAGCTGGTCTTATTAGGTTTTAATAAGATTGGAAAGCTCCACAGGGAGTGTTTTTGAAAATGAAACTGAAAAATTAAATGGTGTTTTTGTGCTGTAAAAAGGTGCCATTTTGGCAGTGCAGGAAAACAAATCCCTCTCATCTCTAGCTACAGAATAGAAAGCACAGTTAGTGGTCAGCTGTGCTTTTACTGTCCTAATGTTGCATAACCTGGAGCTAGTTTGCTCATTTCTTTTGCTCTTTGATGAGAAAAAGTCTGGTTCCCTCCTGAGAGCCCAATGGGTTATCAGCTTTCCTGCAGAAACTTGAGAGATGTGAGCAATTGTCAAAGTGTTGCAGATGGGAAGAACTGAAACACTCCTTTCCCACATCCTGCAGCTTCCCTCTGTATTGGGCCTGAGGGAGGACACTAATGAAAGAACTGTTCTTCACTTTTTGGTAGCACCATAGGAGACGATAGCAAGATCTTGATATGGTGGTGGATCCCTTTGGGGATCAGGCATAGAAAAAAAATCAAGGTTTCTTTCTTTTTGCAGTGAAGCTAGTTCTGTTCATTAGCATGTATTTATGGTGAAGATTTTGAGTTAAGAAACCGGATTTTATCTGTAAAATCTTAGAATCTAAAATCGTGAAAGAGGACATGCATTAGTTTATATTCTCAGGTAGACTGTTCTGGTTTTGCAGATCTGGCTATGGTGTGTGATCTGTGTATTGTGAAGATAACATTTTCTGTGCAGTGATTAATTTGTGAGTGAATCTAGAATCTGCAGAATGGTTCAGATTATCACTGCCATCATCTGGGTGCCGCACTGACATTAGCCCCACACTGATTGCTTTGCATTTGATTCAGGATCACTAATATCAGGGTAGCGGTACTGACACGAGTGCTTTTCTCTCAATAGACAAAATATTGCACTGCTGTGTTTGGCAGGCAGCTGTGGGTTTGTAATATGGACAAATGCTGCCCAAGAAATTGAGATTTCCAGGGGCTGCTCTCCAGCAGCGGCATACTGCCAGGAATAGCGTAATCATGTCTTTAGCTCTGCATGCTTCTTTTATGACTAATGAACTGACATTTATGAGAAGCTTAGCTGAGGTTACTGTGTTATCAAGATTCTCCTAACATCTCTGTTAGTGGTAGATAGTGCAGGAAGAAATACATATCAGGGATGTGACTCATAGTTTGGTGCAGTGAACCCTGGAAATTATAGTTGAGATCACTGTTGTTTTTCTTTTCCTGACAACCTTCTCTCTAGACTGGCTTATCTATTTTAAATCAAATTTGTGCGTTTTGACTATAAAAATGTGAGCTGGTGATAGATCAAGAAGTTATAGGCTGGAATATGTCAAAATACAGTCTTAGAAAGTGGTACATGCTACTGTGAATTAAAGGTGGAAGCAAATTCATTAAGTACTTTCCAGTTTGTCCTTGGCCTCATTTGTTTTCCTTTACGGGGAGGGCATAGATCAGAACTGTGGATTAGGGCATAGTATTCTCCTTACAGGCATACGGTTCTTTAAAAAGGTCTTGATTATAACTGCAGCTTTTTAAAACTACTTTGATAGTAAATGAATCTGCCTGGCCTGCTAGAGATAGGAAAAATACCTGTTCCATAGGAAATACATTGTTATTGACCTGAAGGGGATGTATCCAGAGAACAGGAGACAAGTTACAATTGTTGCAAGTTTCAGATTTTCTCAAGAAGAAGAGTTTGTGCCCATTACAGCTGCCTGTTTTAAGAACAGCCTGTGATTGGCTCTTGCTTTTTTCATATTTTCAAGTAACCTTCATGTTTTGTCAGACTGCTGTACTCTGTTTGTTTGTTTCTTAGGAAGTGGCAAAACGCTTGCATTTGCAATTCCTATGATTCACTCTGTGCTGGAATGGCAAAAATCAAATAGCTCAGTGAGCATAAATTACAGTGTTTCTAAAAAGCCCTCTCAGCATCATGATGAAATGAGATGGGAAAATGATGGCGAAGCAGAAGAACCAAACCATCAGGAGGTTGAAGACAGTGGAGATGAAGATGTTGCATCTTTTGCAACAGGCTGTATGAAGGTGCAGGAAAACACTGAATTTGATTCCAGTGACAAAGAACATACCGTTGGCCTCCATAAAAAGAGACCTCTTTTAGGACTGGTCCTTACTCCTACAAGAGAATTAGCTGTGCAAGTGAAGCACCACATCGATGCAATTGCAAAGTTTACAGGTATGTAGACTTCAAGGGTTTTATTCCAGGTAACATCAAGTTTGGGTCTTGGCACTGGTGTTGAGCCAGAACGCATAACATACTGCTATGGTGCTATAACATGATGGAAAATACAGCAATAATAGTGGGGTGGTACAATCCTAAGCTGCAGCAAATGAAAGCAAGCACCAATACAGTAGCTGTAGACACAGAAACAAAGGAAGAAAATCTGCTTACCTTTGGAAGGCCTCCAGTAAACAGGGATTTTCAGCAAGATACCCTCCACTGCCAACCCTTAAATGAGGTTTGGGAAGGGATAGATCCTGGCTCCACCCCTTTTGGTCACTCAGCTGCATTGCATGCACCTGAGTTCACCTGGGTTGGCCCTGCCTTCCCACCAGATGCTCAATCACTGGTTCAAGCCCTGACTTAGCATTTCCACTATACGTACTTTCTTCCACATCATAAAGTTGGCTTGGTGTTTGAAGGCTTAAGGTTCCCAGTTGCTAACATTTGAGAGGTGCATTAAGATTTTTCAGAGAAATGCATGTGGAAGTTAACAGTGTGAGACATTCTGCTTTAAAATATTTTTTTGTACAAATAATTACTGACTTGTGCTTTAGAAATAGAATCAGTACTAGATAATCAGCCACAGCTACATGTGTGCCTGTATGTATGATAAAGATAATAAAACCATAAATTTTAAGGTAGATTGGTAGATTATCTGATTTACCTCCAACAGTAGTTAGGCATGTTGCTGGGTAACATATCTGATGAAATCAGATTCATCCTGCTTCTTTCTTTTCCTGATCGAAGGTTAGCACATCTGTTAAGTGAATGAGTGAGGATGTGGAAGTACTAAAGATAGAATTGGGAATTAACTCCCTCGTTCTCCAACAGCAACAATTATTTATTGAAAAGGGTATGCAGTGCAGTGAACTGTTTAAGCACATCTTCCTTTGGTGTCTATGCAACCTGCTGTGCTCATCAGTCTGCAGCTGATTACAAGGCTAATTTTAACTCATAGCCTGAAACAATCAGTTTCTGTCAGTACAGTTCTGACAAAGTGGTACTATTTGTATACACAAATCTACTGCCCAAGAGATTATATGTTTGCTGTAGCCTGAGAGAAACAGTTTTGATGTGTGCCTGCTTTGTCTATATAATCAACTTGGAACAAATCCTCACCTAAAAGCATGGAGTTATACAATAAGTAGGGAAGAGAGACATGAGGTAGCACAGATGCTGAAAGAACCTTGCACAGAAGCGTTGAGTTCACCACATGGGTCAGTATATCCTCTGAAGAAGCAGAAGGAAATAAGCCATGTGCGTGCTATGCACTTCCAGAGCTAAACTCCTTACGTATCTGAAAATTGCTTAATTTTGCTAATTTGAGGTTTCTGTCCAGAGAATCATTAATTGGGGACTGATGTTCTTATTAAAACTAGTCCATAATAAATGAGCAGTTATTAGCAAGACAGACATTTCTCAGTCCTATTCTTAGAGGAATCTGCTGGTTATTCTTAACAGTAACATGCTTATAGAATCATAAAATCATAAAGGTTGGAAAAGACCTACAAGATTATCTAGTCCAACCGTCCTGCCATTACCATTGCTACCACAAGCACTAAATCAAATCTTGCAGCTCCTCATCCAGACACCTCTTGAACACTGCCAGGGGCGGCGACTCCACCACCTCCCTGGGCAGCCATTCCAATGCCTGACCACTCTCTGAGAGAAAAAGTTCTTCCTTGTGTCTAATCTAAACCTCCTCTGGTACAACTTGTAATTTCCTCAGGTCCTGTTTGTTGCCTGGGAGAAGAGGCCAAAACCTTCCTCATTGCAACCTCCCTTCAGGAAGTTATAGAGTGCAGCAAGGTTTCCCCTGAGCCTCCTCTTTTCTGGGCTAAACAATCCCAGCTCCCTCAGCCACCCCTTATAAGACTTGTGCTCCAGACACCTCACCAGTTTCCTTGCTCTTCTCTGGTCATGCTCCAGGGCCTCAATGTCTTTTTTTGTAGTGAGGGGCCCAAAACTGAACACGGTACTCAAGGTGCAGCCTCAGCAGTGCTGAGTACAGGGGCATGATCACCTCCCTGCTCCTTCTGACCACATTATTTCTAATGCAGACTTATTCATGTAGGTACAGTTGACAAAATTCTGAAGTACAGTTAATCAAAACTAACAGCTGTGGAGGTCATATATGAGTCTTGTTGCTTTTGGAAGACAGGTGTGCAAAAGAAAGGTTACTGTATGTGCTAGAAAAAGGAACGTTGTTTTTGGTTTGGGTATTTTGGGGCATCTTCTTAAAATAAAAATTGCTTTGTAAAGTTGACAGCATTGCCATAAAGTTTTTCAGTGGTATATAAAACTTCCCCAGTTTCTTGGCTGAGAAACTTAATGCTAATTGCGTTATAGACTATTGTGAGTGGATATATGTAAAGATGCTGATAAATTAAACAAAGACTGTTATCTGTATCTCCTAGGCATTAAGACTGCTATTCTAGTTGGAGGCATGGCAGCGCAGAAGCAAGAACGTGTACTGAATCGCAAGCCAGAAATTGTAATAGCAACCCCAGGCCGTCTGTGGGAGCTAATTAAAGAAAGACACCCACATCTCTCAAATCTTCGTCAGCTCAGGTAAAGTTGCCTTTTAAACTAACTGCTAAATGCTGATCTGGGTTTCACTGCGTTGTATGATTAACTGATGAAGCAACTTAAGCTTTGTAAGGTAACTTATTTCTTTGCCAGAGTATTTTAGTGCAGTGCACAGTGGTTATGTTAAGAGAGGGAAATGTTAAAAAAGTTTGACTTATTCTTTTTGATATAACAGGTTTCTAAAAGAAATGTGAGAATAACTGAAGCGACGCTAGCACATCTAGAGTTCCTTTGGGTTTTATTTGCACAAATTTCCCTATGTTTAGCAGCAAACGTTCTTTAGAAGTATATCTGATTTGTATTTATCTACACAACTCTATTTATACTGTGTGTTCTGTTTGACAGGTGCCTTGTGATTGATGAGGCAGACCGAATGGTTGAAAGAGGTCATTTCTTGGAGCTGTCTCAGTTGCTGGAAGTCTTAAATGATTCACAATACAATCCTAAACGACAGACTTTTGTTTTTTCTGCCACTCTGACATTAGTCCATCAGACTCCCACAAGAATTTTACAGAAAAAGAATGCTAAAAAGATAGACAAGAAGACCAAACTTGAAATGTTAATGGAAAAAGTAGGAATAAAGGGCAAACCCAAAGTGATAGACTTAACAAGGAAAGAGGCTACTGTTGAGACTCTGATGGAGACCAGAATCCATTGTGATACAAATGAGAAAGACTATTACCTTTATTACTTTCTTCTCCAGTATCCAGGAAGAACTATGGTCTTTGCAAACAGCATAGACTGTATAAAACGCCTCAGTTCTCTCCTCACAATCTTAAATTGTGATCCTCTTCCTTTGCATGCCAACATGCACCAGAAGCAAAGGTTAAAAAACTTAGAACGGTTTGCTGAGCGTGAGAGGTAAGTTGTTTCTATGTTCTACTAGAAAAGAAAAAGAAATTGTGTAAAGAACACGGGGGAATAGACAGAAACAGCTCTGTTAGAAGAGGAGTGAATCAGGGAGTCGCTTTGGAGTCTGAATTACTCTGCAACCTGTCAGATCATTATTGCTGAAGGATCTGCTACTTGCCCCATTCTTAGTCATATGCTTTTGTAACCATCCTGCTCTGGCCCTCAGCCTTGGCTCTGCAGCACCTCTATCTCACAAAGCATCAAAAAATAAAACAGTTTTTGTTGGCTTAGGCTTCAAATTTGCCTAGATGAGTTAGTTTCTTGAGGGTCAAGGTAACCTAGAGCAATGTGATGAAAGAAGGTGATCCAATTTACCCCCGTTTGCCTAACTTGGCACTTTAAGAATCTTTAGTTCCTTCTGGCTTTGGATTAGCCTTTGAGAGTCAGGTTGGTGGACTCAGTGTTTCAGTAAACCAGCTGGCTGATAATACTGGAAATTGTACCTTGGTAGCAGACTTGGGCAGGAGAAAAGAGATTGCATTGTCATGACAGATCTGCAGTATCCCTTTGCAAAATATAATATGCCTTGGCAGAGGCAGACTGAGCATTTTCAGAGTGCACTGATTTTCATGGCAAGGGGAAATCTGTGAAACCATCTATAACAGCTGCCTGCAGAATGTATGCCACAGAATTTTCTATTTATTTCTGCTTTGATCCTTGGAGCCATAGAGCATGCAGTCAGATGCTATAAAATCTTAACAAATTCCTGCTGTCTACAGCTAACTCTTTTCAGCTTCTGGGTGATGTATTTATTGTTTTTAAACAGGTTGTTCCATACCCTAGGCAGACTTCTGTCTGTGCAACAGACCCTATGTAAAAGAATGACTTTGAGAGAAGTCCTCCATTTCTAAGAGTGACGGAAAAATTATCAGAAAGAATTAGCCAGTTGAAATTTCTACTTTTCAGTTTAGTTATTTGAGTGCAGCTTGGTACTTCAGCCCCCAAAGTGTTAATTAAATCTTTAATGTTAATAATAATGTGATTTCTTCAACTAGTGAAACGTAGTAGTCTTTCTGTCCCGCCAAAGGACCAACTGTATCATTAATGGTATGATCATATTAAACTAATTATACTTCTAAACACAACCTGGGCGGAGCACTGAAAAATGTACTGAAGGAGAGCTTTTACTCCCCTACCAAGTAGTCGGATTTTTTTTGTTGAATAGTGATTTGTGCTAGCTGCTATGAATTGGGAGAGAATAAAAGCACAGGAAAGCAGGATCCAGAAAAGTAGGGAATTTCAGTATTGGAAACAGAATGAACCCATTGAAGGTAACATTTGCATTATTTTTGCTACTTCAAGACTGCCTGTGAGGTAATATTTGATATTGTTTTCCTGTAGTGGCAAATGCATAGTATAGTTCCAGCAGATGAGATAGTACGAATTTGTTTCTTAAATTGCTGTGGTAGAATTCTGGATCATGTATTTTATGTTTCTTAGCAGATGGTTTACTCTTCAGTTTTATGTTCATTAAATGTTATCACTTCCTCAGCTGTGTCCTCCTGACAACAGATGTTGCGGCTCGTGGTCTTGATATTCCCAATGTGCAGCATGTCATCCACTACCAGGTTAAATATCTTTGATGTTTTTACTTTTACTATTTTGGTTTTGAAGTAAGCTTGTTTGATAGCAGCCCCAAAACTATAAAGCTGTGATTCTTCGTCCTGTGTTAAGAGTACAGGGATTTCATCATCTTTAATTTAACTATCTTGTAATACTTCGTACTGTTGCTACAGTGACTGTCAGTGATATATAATACTTCATGAATGTGTGGTCATATATAAGAAATGACATAACATACAAGATTCTCCTTGCTTTTTGCTCGACTTCAAGATAAAAAAAAGTGTCACATGGCTCAGCCCTGTAATTTTTGTGAGTCGCAGTTTTTTTCCTGCTTTCCAAATGAAATGGCAGAGGGCTAGAAGGCACATAAGAGGTTATACCAGGAAGAGCACTAGACCAGGAAACACAAATTGTCTCTAGACAACATCTTTCTTGCTTAAGCTGTGTTACATGCAATGTACCAGGGGTATATAGAAAGCAATTTATCATAAGATCTGAAACCATCTGACAAAAGTCAGATTTGACCAGAAATGGTCAAAGTATGACAAACTGTTGCTAACCTCCTGTGACCAGCTTCATGACTGATTTGTCTGAATTTTTGCAGGTCCCTCGTACTTCTGAGTTGTACGTACACAGAAGTGGTAGAACAGCACGAGCTGCCAATGAAGGCCTTAGCCTGTTGTTGATTGGGCCTGATGACTTGATCAATTTTAAGAAAATTTATAAAACCTTGGAGAAGAGTGAAGAGCTGCCACTTTTCCCAGTTGAAACAAAGTATATGACTGCTATTAAGGTAAAGAAAAAAAATCTCTTTGCATCCTAAGTAACTGCTTGCTTATTTACATTACTGCATTGCAAATCATGTTCTTTTCAAGTTTCAGATGACATTTACTCTTCAGGACCTGGATTTGAAAATGAGGTTAATCACACTTGTCTTTTTTTCACCAATATTTGTGGTTTCTCCTCAATAAGTAGCCCAAGAAAGGTGTCCAGATGTAAACGTCACTTACATTCTTTCTTGCTTGTTACATAGAGCTGCTTATTACTAGATTCCCCAAAACAATACAGGGTATGGATGTATTTTTTTTACTGAAAAGCTAGGATGGCTCTGTTGAGTTATTTAAAGTCTTTGTGTTGGGAATAGACTAGAACAGGACCCTCCGTGGTCTTTGTCAGTCTCTTCTTAGCTAAAGTATTGAGCTGTCTGCTTTTCCTAAACCTTTCCTATGCTGTGAGGCCTCAGCTGCCACTGAAACTTGTCAGAAAAAGGTATCATTACTTTTTTTTTCTTTTTCAGCCTATTGACTGTTTTAAGGAACACTTAGTCATTCTGTCACTCACAGGATGTTTTGTAAATCCTAGCAGTTGTACAGTAGATATTAGAAATGTTTCTGGTTACTTAAAAAAAATTCTGGTTGGTATCTGAATTATGATTTGTTCCTGATGTCTCTGATGTAAAAACGAGGAACTAACATTTAGATGTTTAGCAGTTGAAATGTTTTAGGAGTCCAATTCCATCATGGACATCTGAAGAAGCCATCTTCTTCAATCACAGATACCTGGTATCACTTTGGCAAATGATGACATCTGTATTATGTAAGGTGTCTACTAGAACAGCAGTACAGAACTGCAAGACTGACATTTCAGGTGCATTGTAATGCACACTCTCAGACATTGATTCTGCAAGAGTACCCCGTGTTTAAACTTGATTAGAATACTTGAAATGCATCTTTGTTGCAGGAGCGGGTGAATTTGGCACGGCAGATTGAGAAGGCAGAATTTTTCAATGGTCGAGCAAAGCAACATGACTCTTGGCTCCAGCAGGCTGCAGAGGCTCTTGAAGTTGATCTCGATGATGACCTTTTTATGGGCAAGTAGAAAACCTTGTAGTGGGAATAATCAGTTACAACTGTAGTGCTAGTGTGCAGGAGTGTGACTATGGCACAGAAGCTGTTAAACCTTGCAGGGCAGAAGGAGAGGCAAAAGTGTCACTATTTAGTATGCAGTATTGCTGGTGTTTTCAGAATGACTGTGTAGTAGGTAGTGCTGCAGTCAGTGGGGAAGAGAGGTGTGACAATTGTGGAAATTCACAGCCAAGTCTACACAGCTCAGGAAAAGAACTGTTTAACTTCTAGTAACCGTCTTGGGATAATCTAACAATGTGGTGTGTGCTGTTTGAGTCCTTTCCCTATGTGTCAAAGAAGCAGCTGTTTATCCACTCCTGCTTATTGCTCCCTCCACTTATAGTCTGGCAGTGGGTCAGGAGCCTGGCAGTACAACAGCTCTATCTGAATTTTTTAGGAGTATTCGTGTAATTAACACTGTTTCGACACAATCCAAATATTCTGTACTTTGAGATGAATTTCAAAACAGCCTATCTAATTCAAATTACTTGTGACTCTTGAGTGAAACACTTTGTAATTGCCACCCAGAATCTTGCCAGTTATTCAGTCTCTATTTCTTGCATAGCATGTTGGAGACAAATTCAAGTCTCAGTCATGCCTCCCGTAAAAAAGATTTCTCTCAGTGTTACAAAGGCTTTATTAACGTCCCTTCAATTTACGTTACAGATAACCTTGATTTTGTTTGTTTTGCAGTTTAGGCTGCTGATCCTGTTGACAACTTTGATTCTCTTTTGTGCCCTTGCTTTTATGCTGTTAAGTACAGAGGAAGTTTCTGCTAGAGCTAGAAGTCTCCTTTCCTTTTGTTCCTGCAAGTCTGTTCTGGCTTGAGAGCCAAGTGAATGCTTTAGCAGAATGATAACCTGGAAACCTCAGTAGTGAAGTTTCTTCTTGACCTTGTTTTGTTGGTGAACAACCTAGGAGACTAGAAATGTCATACGTGACTGGAAGACTACATTGGAGCTCAGTGATCTTAGTAAGATTAGATTAGTATCTGCCCCTAACACTGCAAGAGGCTGATGAAACAGGCCAGTGTAAGTTCTTTGTGTTATAACATTGTCTCTGATTTTCTTCCCAAAGGAAAAAAAATTAGTGAGCAAGAAGAAAGCCAGAAGCAAAAGATGCTGAAAGGAATGAAAAAACAACTGAAACACATGCTGTCTCAACCACTGTTTAAAGTCTTTATGAAAACAAAGTACCCAACACAGTCGGGGAAACTACTCCTGCCTCAGACTTCAGCTGGCAATTCAGAAACTGCTCTGAGTATTATTTCAAAAAAACAAGCCAAGAAAAAGAAATCAGTATAATTGAATTAGACTGAGCAAGTTCACTGGTTGCAATGGAATCAAGAACTATCCTTATCAAGGCTGACAGGATATTCTGCCAGAAAACACACAGTATCAGGATCGTGCTTTTGTCTTAGGAGAACAGGCACACAGCAAAATGTTTATCTAAAAGGCATTGTTAGCATGGAGTTGGTTACTCTTGAATCTTGTCTTTGACTTTATTTTCTTACATTCTTTTTCTTACTCTATATTAGAACTTAATTAGTTTTGGAATAGTTCTGTTCACTGCTTCTCTTTATAAGACACGTAAAAGTTACTGTGAACAGACTTAATTTTGATTTTATTTTAAAGGAAAGGCACACATAGGCTCTGTACAGGTAACAGGACAGTCTGAGCTGCTGACAGTGCAGATCTGGCTTGTACTGCAGTTAAGTAAGAAAGGCAGCAGATACAGGTAGTGTTACCAACAAGCCTGTAGTTCCAGTAATGGGAGCATTTCCCAGTTTTCTTCCTCTGCTGACCTGATTTCTCAATTCTGTTACACACTGTCTAATTACTTTAGTCCTTTGTTAATATGTTTCAGAATGCGGTCCAGGCAGTGGTCCAGGACTAATCTTGGGAGATTTGCAATCAGCCAGATTTCTCAGGAATGATTATTCCTATAAACATTTTAGGGTATCTAGGGTTGTCTGTGTTTGAAAGCATATTTGAATCATAACCTTTCTTTTAATGGAAATGATGCAAAATGTCACTTTTGAAGAGTGTATCTTCATAATTGTACTTTTAAATCACTTTATCTTTTCAGGGCAAATAATTTCTAAGAGTATTTTTTAAGCTATGTAAAAAAAAAAATGTATTTTGAATTTTTTGTTAAATTGCACCTACTATAAAACCCAAAGCCTGTATCTTCTTTCAATTACTTGAGATTTCTAAGTTTTTCTTAGCTCATGCTCTTCACACTTAGCAGACAAGATGAGAATTCAGGAGAGAACCACCCAAAAGGTAAGATACAGCAGAGACATCTGTACTGGTGGGAGCACAGAGAATCTCCACTTGCTAGCACTAGATTGAGCAAAGCATTTGTGTCTCAGATATGGAACCAATGTCACTACCCCGCTAGGAAGCACACCACTTGACTCAACTAATCCAAGAGTAATTTGTGTGTGGAATTGTGTCCCCTCCTATCACTTGCTGATTCTGGAAAAACAAGGGTTTTGCTCCTTTGTAAATAATTGAATGCTCCCTTGTTCCTCTATCTCTGGGAGGACTTCTCTCTCACTTGGCTCCTTGCATTATGGAAGAAGATCAGTGACAATATTTAAGATAAGCATACAGAGCTTATCAATTCTATATGAAGCTTTTCTTGCAACACACTGTTCATCTGATGTCCTTCAGAGCAGAAGGGGGATTTTTTGGGGGGAGAGAGAGAAAGGAAGAAATTGTAAGGTTCTGTATTCTCACCTACATGAAAAGATGAAACAGCTTTGGAGTCACTTTGACATCTGAAAAACTACACAGTTAAAAGAATATTCCTTGCATGGAAAGCTGGGAAAAGGAACTGAGCAAAGCCATGCACGCCTTGTCTCTCCACTGTCCCACCTTCATAACATTAAAATCACATTCTCATGCTATGAAAAGAAAACTTGGTTGGCTTTTGCATCCGAAGGTGGGCCTTCCCTGTACCTTGTGATATATTTTTACTTGTGATTCATTGGACAAAATTAAGTCAAGATCCTGACACCAGAGCTTCCTTGTCTGAAAATCTGCATGAGGTAGGACAGTTTTGGCAATTTATAATTCCACATGATAGCAACATGAACTGACCTGGAAGATAGGGAGAGTATTATTTCTTCTCAGAGATCATTGCTGGGAAGTTTTTCCAGCTCTTCTGTTTCCTTGTGCTTAACAGCCTAGTTATCACACTCCCACCTCTCCGTCTGGCCCTCAACCCACTGTCTTGCTGAGTCTTCCTAAGATGGAGCATGACACTTCTGCACTCCTCCTCACCTTCTTCATGTTTGCCTATGCCACGCTCTGCTGTTGGTTCTCTCCCACACTCTACTGAAGCATTCAACATGAGTTTTGTTCTTAATCTACTGATGCTGCTCCCCTACAGGAGCCCAAGCCATACTTGGACCCTAAAATATCTGTCATAAAAAGAATATTTGTCTAGCACCAGCAAGCTCTCTTTTGATTGCCTGCTTTCCCTTGTCAGCCTCTTACCGGGATACCCTGAAACTTCTACCTATAGGAAGAACCCTTTTCATGCCTTAACAAATTTAAACACGCTGTTAAACTGGAAGATAGTATTGCTTAACTGCTCTCCTCCAGTGTGGCGTAGATTGCTACAGGAGGAGAGGAGGGCAGAGAAATTGTTTCCTCCAGCTCTGATCATTTGCTGATGTTTTACTGGTGCAAATTAGACTTGAATAATTTTATATCAAATGCCTATGAGGAATTTATTTCAGTACTTAATAAAATCTGTAGTAATGAGTTACTTCTGTAATGCTCTGCTAGCACAACAGTTATGCTGAGGCTTCAAACAAGTAATGTTGTGTTTTGTGGCAATTTATGTCTACTAAAATTCCCATTAATTAATAGAATACCTAGGTCTGTTTGGGCTGCAAGATCCATCTCCAAATAGATTAAGACACAAACGCGGTGGAGTATTACAGGTGGCCAATCTGGTACAGAGCCACCAGGACTGCAAGGACTGCATAACAGAAAATTGCAACCCAAGTAACTTCTGAGCCTTTCATTCCCTTTTATGTTGTGAATATGGGAGGCCAGTCAACTTCACACACATATCAGAAGGAAGAGTCCCTGTGGTTTGACATCTGCCAAGGAGTGTGTTTGGAAAGGATCTCATGCATTGGACAGTTAAGTTTCCTGAACTTTGTAGTGTTCCTCTCTCTTCCTCTGCGTGTTAATGAAACAGCAAAGCAGAAACTGGAGAGCTGCCTTACCACATGCTAGAGCCCTGGCATGCATTTCCCACGTGGCATGTGGGAAATAATTTGCACCTCACAGAGAACAGGCCAGACACCACACAGTCACCATGCTCACCATAGGGAGATGGCATGTGTGGGGGAGATAGCAATTAAGCAGCTGATTAGGGCAAGTGCCTGTCCTTGCTCAGCTCTCCAAAACCAGCTTGCAAATTCACATCCATGAGGAGGGAAGAAGGAAGCGAAGCACATTCCCAATGATTTGCAGCTTGTGCTCTCTGATGCCAGGAGAAAAAGGCGGTAAGAAAAAGTATTTTAACACTCAAGAAAGCACGATACACCCTGTGCTAGCAGGGTCCCTTTGGGGTGCCTAATTCCAGGCTGTCTAGTAAATGGTTTGATGAAAGAAGGAGCTCAGAAGACCATGAAGTGAAGCAGTTAGCAAAGGACTGGTAGTCCAGCAAGCACTATTAAAGTGATATCCAGTTATCTTTGCAGAAAAGCAGGATGATGTAGGATTGGAGTAGAAGGAGACAATGGAGAGAAGGCTTTCCTGCTGCAGGAAATGGTGCTAGTTTTGTAACCCTCTGTAGATACTTCCCCTCTGATACTAAGGCAATTGGTATTTTTCTTGCCCATGTGAGGTTACATGTTCAAGATTACCTTTGTGAAAGATATTTAAGGGCACAAGTGTTTCATCAATTCAGTCAAAAGCTCCTCATGGGGTAAGCTTCACCAGAATGGATAAGAAAGAGGAAAAGTAGTAATCTATTACTCCTGAGGCAAATTTATTGGCCTCTGAAAGCAAAGGAACAGGGCTGTTACGCTTGTTTGTCTTGGAGTTCGACAGCTCGTGCTGTTAAGCTGGAAGAAATGGAGGCCTGTTTCCAGAGCAACCAACCTGATGGCACAAATTGCCAAATTTCTGTAGGGAATGGCTACAGTTTCAGAACATTACTCCAAATCCTAGATTAAAAAAATGAGAGCGAGCACTGCAAAGTACGTGTGGTCTTTGGTACGCATGGTTTAATTAGAGGGATGATGTCCTGTTATTACTGGTGTAATTATAGGAGTCTAATTGATAGTGTGTATACTCCTACATGAGCAGAATTTATTTTCTTCATGGGAATACCTTCCCCAGTATAAGCAATTTTAGTACTGACAGGAACAGATTAGATTTCTGCACCTGTATTGGCAGTGACAGTGCTGTGAGGGGCAAGGTGTAAGGAGGCTGCAGCTGCCAATCCATTTTCCATCTATTTTGTGCTTGTTTACTGCAGTGTTGTTTCTAAGCCAGCTCAAGTGAAGTCATTTCCATGCTCACAGCTCTCAGATGACCTCACAGCATGATTTTCTTGGCAAGTTTAAAAATCTGTGAAAATTAAGTTTGCTGAAACATTTCATAGTTTCTTTCAACTTGATTTCCCAGGTTCTTAAAGTCTCCAAAATTCCAGCTGGGAACGAAGGTTATTCTTGCATGTATTCCCAAACATGTTTATGATGTGTAATGTGCCTTTTCTTAAAAGTTTTCAAAAGTCCATTTTCTAAGATCATTCAGTCATACACATGTGTACACATACATGCAACATAACCTGGCTTTTAGCTAACAAAAAAAGAAAAAAAAAGTTTTCTTTACTCAAAGAGAAGTATGTGCTTTCCAAATGAAAAAAAAGCTAACTGGAAAGTGTCAGTGTGTTTAAAAATTCAGTCCCAGCTAAATCTTGGGGGGGGAAAAAAAAAAAAAAAAAAAAAAAAAAAGAACTGCCTTTAAGCCTTTGAAGCAGAACATACCTGATACCAATTTTCCTTCTTCCCAATTTCACACACAAAGACAAGAAAAAAAAATGACAAATTCATTGGCCGAAAAGATTAAGAACTGAATCAAGACCTGAAATTGGAGTGTAAAAAGCTTTAACTTGGTGAAATTTCATGTCGTTTTTTGTTTAAAACACTATCAATGACAGAACCAAATAAATACTAATGTTTACCAGGAGCTGTTTAATTAGAAAATGGTACTATCATTATCCCTGTGCTTTTCTGTACACAAGAGTCTGAATGTCACAAGTAGCCAGGGCAGCTCTGCTCACCATTAAGTTGCATTTTTCATTTTCCTGCAACGCTTCATTTTAAAAAGAAAACAAAAAAGGCAACTGACACTTGCAGGGCACTGATCTGACAGAGAGGTTTGCGTTGCATATGGCAGTGGCAGCTATCCTCAATGCTGCTGCATTTTAACAAAACCCTTTCTCACACGCAGGGGCTGAGGCCAGAATTCAACTTGCAGTGAATTCCTTCTGCCACTATAGGGTGAAGTTGCAAGAATAGCCAACTGTGCAGCACTGGTTCCCTGGTAGCGCAAGCAATGCTGTAAACAAACATTCCTGCTCTTTACCTTACTTGCATTTATAACTGTGCTGTGTTCCCTGAAAAACAAGTCATTCTCTTGAATACATGGCACCATTTCCCAGTGCACAGGTGGGCACAGGGATGGTGAATGTGCCCCACCACAAATGGCAGAAGTGAAGGTGGGAGGGAGGAAATTGAAGGAAGACAAATCTTTCTGTAACATGGTAATGGCTAGAACCATGTGTTCTCCCATCCCACATAACTCTTCAGGGGACTCTATGTGAAAAGTAAACACTCAAAAATTGATGAAATACTTTTGGGTGCTGGGGAGGGACTTCCTTGCAGTGACAGCTTGATGAGTGGTAGCTGCCTGTCTGTGCCAGCTCTCATTATGCTGTGGCACACACGTGGCCAGGGCTGCAGCTCCTGCCTTCTCCCTGCACTACAGGCACTGAGCAGAAGGTGGGCTGGACCCTGCAGGGCTGTGCCCATTGGGGTGTCAGATCAATAAGCAGGTCTCCTCTCTGCTTTGTTAATTGGCTGTACATGTCCCAGTAAACCTGGCAGTACATTTTTCCTTACCAGCACTGAATTTTAAGTACACAAATTCACTTTGCTATCAGATTATGAAGTGCACCGTGCATTGAAACAGCCAACAAGTCAGGAGATCACAGCAACGGGCTCTGTTTTTGTGTTTCATAGAGGCCTTAGAGGAGGTCCAGTTCTGTTATACTTTCAGAACCTGGAACATTGGGCCTGTATGAGCAAGTGTTTTGGTGGAGCCCTGTCTGCTTCCTGTAAAAGAAAAACAAGGCATGACAAGAAGAGAGGAAGAGCCTCTCTGTCCTCCAAGTCTTATCTCAGTATCTTATTGCCACCAAGCCCCCTGCCTTGCTGTGCCACCTCTCCAGGCATTATCACAGCAACAAAGTATGAGGTGTTATTCTGTCTCAGGCTGATGCTCATCATGGTTGATAATAAAAATATCAATTTAAGTCCCTACTGCTTCTCCTGTTCCTTTTTCATCTGCACATTTCCCCACATTTATTCAGCTATTACACCAGGACAAACTCTTGCCAGCTGTATTTGCATTCCAGCTATTTAGGAACTTTCTTTTCATTATTAAGATAAATACAGTGGTTATGGTCCTGGCAATTCCTTACATAAAAATCATATCCAAGCCAACATTTAAGTTAAAATGTCTTGTGTTATTTTTATTTTTAATTCAAAATAGGACAACAGTGTTTTAATGAAGCCCCTTGAACTTTCTATCGGGGTGCTGTGTTTTCCTTCAGTGTTCTCTACCAAAGTCCGCAGCATCTAGATGTAAGCTCCACCATAGAGAAGACATATCAACGTTCCTGAGAAGTTGGATAGTGACCCCAGTAACACACTTTAACCATCAGCCCAGAAAGCAGTTAGGCAGGATAATCTGTCCCTTCCACATAAGCAGTACTGTTCCAGGCCCCTCAGCAGACCTTTTCCTAAGCATCAAAGTACACAAAAAGTAGGCTAGCAGAGGCTCTAAACTTGGCCTTTGCAGCAGGACTAGAATGGGAAAAGGCAAACAAACAAACAAAGCAATATGCTAGAAAAAACCCACAGCCCTGCTGTAAGACAGCAGAAAGAACAAAACAACAAGGCAATGAGATTCTAGGCTGCAACAAGTGAAAATCCACTCAGATGCAACATCAGTAGACACAAAAATAAGAAAAAGAAGCCGTTTACCTTTAGAAGACCCCAAAGTCCTCAGACAGGCTGAGATTTCTAAATGGGACACCTCCACTGCCATCCTTTAAATGAGGTCTGGGAAGGAGTGGATCCTGGCTCCATCCCTTCTGATCACTCAGCTGCATTGCGTGCACCTGAGCTCCCCTGGGTTGACCCTGCCTTCCCACCAGGTGCTCAATCACTGGTTCAAGCCATGACTCAGCATTTCTGCTGTACCTGAGAAAAAAAGACCTGGCGGTACTGATGGATGGCTGTTCAGCCTGGAGCAGAGGAGTGCGAAGTACAAAGTGACCTGATAGCAGCCTTTCAGTATCTAGAGGAGAGCTAAAGAAAACAAGGAAATGTTCTTTAGCAGGGTCTGTGGTAATAGAACAGCAGGAAATGGTTTCAAGCTTAAAGAGGGTAGATTTAGGAAAAAGTCTTTTACAGTGAGAGTAGTGAGGCACTGGAACAGGTTTCCTAGAGATGTGACGGATGCCCCAACTCTGGAAATTTTCAAGGCCAGGCTGGATCAGGACCTGTGCAATGTGATCTAGCTGTGGTGTCCCTGTTCATTCCAGGGAAATTGTACTAGATGACCATTAGAAGTCCCTTGCAACTCTGAGGATTCTATGATTCTATGAAAATAAACTGTTCTAGAAAAGCCCCAGCTCTTTCATTTTCTTTCAGCTTAACATGCTCAGCCAGCCACATTTGTAGTACAAGCAGGAAAGCTTCTTGGGTTCTTACTGCTTTCTCAGACCATTAACATTGCCAATATTTTGTCCCATTCTCTGCAAGAGGATGTTACCCATGGGGTTGTTTTTTTCACAATGAAGCTGGGCTGAGCTGCGGGTTTTTGGTGGGAGAGTGGTAGCCAGCAGGCACTCTGCGGCATCACCTGCAGTTAAATAAAGCAGGAGCGTTCAGTGCCCAGATGCATGTCTGCTCACCGCATCCAAGGTGCATCCGTTTGCTCTCCCCAACCCAGCAGCCTGGCTGTGCTGCCCAGTAGCTTTCAGCCATACTAAGGTGACACATTGCATTAAAGCTATTTCAGGCTATTGCAGCTAGGAGCTTTGATAGGCTTGTTAATTTACCATTAAAATATTTGAGCCATTTCCAGGATTTTCTTTTTTTTTTTCCTCAGTGAGTGATTCTTGCAATCTTGTGCACTGCATCTGTTACACAAATACAGCTCATATGACCAGGAAAATACTTCTTTTAATTTGTGTGTGTGTGTGTGTGTGTGTGTGTGTGGAGCTGTACAGATGTGATGTTAGGTAAACTGCTCCATTATTTCCATTGGCCTGGTGAAAAAAGTAATCAGGACTCAGTGTCTTGCTTAAACACTTATACCAAAATTCAGGTTAATCAGAATTGGGTTTGAGGTAAAAGCGTCTTCCCCTTTTTCCTGTTCTGTGGACCACAGCAACTTTTTAGATGAAAACATCCAAGTGATCTACGCAGAATTGCCTGCTACAGCAGGACACAACATGGAAAATACCTGTTTTGATTTGCTCTCCTTTGGTCAAATACAGTTTTGGCATCTTGCACTGAAGATCTCAAGTTTGCTGTAAAAGCGTGAGTAAGGGTTTTGTGGCCTCTGATAAGCAGAGACCATCCTGCTTTATGCAGACCCGTCTGAATAGAGGCTTACAAAAGCAGCGATTGTACAGGAACAGAAACAAAGATGGGCAGAAGGAATAACGTAGCTGTGTTTGTCTCTCCCTTGTGTCTAGTGACTGATAATGGTGTGCCTGGGGAAGGCTGCAGAGGCTTTCTCTCCCTCTCGAGTATCTTTCTACCCAGCCAAAGTATCCAGCAATTCGCCGCTTAATCCCTTTGCAGGGTGGATCAGACCGGAGACGCCTGGCAGTAGCGCGGAGCAGACGCTGGGTGGCAGGGATGCTCCGGTAAACGCGGCTGCCGGTGCCATGGACTCTGCTTCGAGGGCCTTGACAGTGTGTGTACCTTTAAGGGTTCCTCCCGGGTGAAAGTATGAACAAAACAAAGGAAATGCAGTATGGATGAGCTCTCCAGCCAAGTCCTTGCACTCTTCGGTGCTCTGGCACAGCCATGAAAGGCAGCAGGGGATGCTCTCCTCAGCGGTTCCATTCTCTTGTCTTTGGTTGCTTGCTCTAAATACTGATGGTAGGTGAAACTGAGCCCATGAGCCAAGCAAAATGAAATGTAACAGATAGAGGCAATGGAGTGTGTCCAGAGAAGGGCAACAGAACTGATGAGGGGTCTTGAGTACAAGCCTTAGGAGGAGTGGCTGAGGGATCTGGAATGGCTTAATATGGAGAAGAAAAGGTTCAGGGTTTACTTTAATGCTCTCTACAACTACCTGAAAGGATGTTGTGGCAAGGTGGGGGTTGGCCTCTTTCCCCACATAACTAGGACTAGAGGGAATGGCCTCAAATTGTACCAGGGTTCAGGTCAGATATTAGGAAAAATTTCTTCTCCAAAGGAGTGGTCAAGCACTAGAACAGGCTGCTCAGAGAGGTGGTTGAGTCTCTGGAGGTGTTCAGGAAACATTTAGAAGTTGTACGGAGGGACGTGGGAAGCACATAGTGGGGAAATTTTGGCAGTAGATAGACAGTTGAACTGGATGATCTTGAAAGTCTTTTCCAACCTTGGTGATTCTATGAATTTGTGAATCTATGATTCTATGAATTTTATGTTTACCTCTTTCTTGGCTCTTGAATTTGGTATCCCAAATGTCATAGTATGTCTTTAACCTCTACCCAGGAAAGGCACACTGTTGCATGAAGAGCTATGCATACAGGTAATGAGCAGAGATAACCACAAACTGAAAGATCGAGGAAAATTTGGGGATTTTTTGAAAGTCTGATTTTGATTCAAAATGGGTAGAAACTGGCATTTTTCAGAATTTCCAGCAAACCAGAACCTCCACAGACCTGGTGTGGCTAACTATACACTTGTCACTTCCAATGCTAACAGCAACTGCACCATCCTAAGAAGCTGCAAGAACTCCCCAAATCCCTGTGCTGGGGCAGCCCTGCACCCAAGGTCTATCAGCCCCACAGCTGATTTTGCTATACGGATACCTATGTGACATGGAGAGCATTTTATTGGTGACGTGGCCCCTCTGTTCTTCTGCATTATGCACTTTTATCTCAGTGTTTTCCAAGTCACCAATATATCGTAAGCTTAACCATGCAACCTGTTGTTGTTATGGAGGGGGGAAACCACATCTTAGGTTGTAACTGTCCTCTTGATTTCTGTCAGAAAAAAAAACAGTTCAAAGCATCCACCCCACTGTAATCCAGCTGTAATGGTTCAGAGCCCTGATTACACCTCCATTTCACTCAGCTGGTAAAGCCAGCACTCAGTGATTTCTTAATAGCATTGTTAAATACATCTTTGATTCAGAAGCATATTGATTCCTGTGTATCAACTTGATTCATAGCTACAACTCATTGTAAAATGTGGTTAATTCTAGAAGCAGGCTCTGTGGCAGGAGGGTGGGAGGGAACCTACATAACATTATCACAAGCTGTCTACAAATAGCCCTGCCATCCTCCTAAGACTCATACTATAAACAAACAGCTTTGCCAGAGCCTGGAAAAGTTTGATTTTTCATTTAACTTGTTTCTTTTCATGTCATAAAGCAGTCTGGAGATGTCAGGCCTACTAACTTCTGCCAATCATCTGCTAAAGGATTTGAGTCCTCTTTGGTTTGGTTGTACTGTATACACTGCACAGGCTACAATACAGGGATGCAAAGAGAAGAAATGAAAGGCTTCTGAATTTTGGCCATAACACTGTCTGGACTCTTGATTTATGCTAGTTGAACCAAGTGTAGCATTGGCACTGCTCTGCTGTAGTAGCACTGCCACAGAAACAAAGAGTGATGCCAAGCATTTGTTCTTCTCATGGAAAAGGGGACTTTGAGTGGCCTAAAGAAAACAATAATGAAATAAAAATGATAGGCAGAAGCTTGCAGTTTTGGTTGAAATCCTTTGAAGCATTTAAGTAGAGGGGGGGAAGCAAGGGAAATTATTGCTGAAATTGAACTGTTTCAGTCAGTGAAAAATTCTGACTTATTCTCAAGAAACATGAAAGACCATGGTCAAAGCCAGAAATGCATTGCCTCTTAACAGTTGTGCTTCTCATTTGCAGCTGTCATTCTCCCACGTCCCTGGTCCTGGGATCCCTGGGTAACCCCTCAGCCTCCTCGCCCTGGGAGGCCCTGGCCTCACTCCATGTGGGCTGGGCAGTGCAGTGCCCTGCCCTCTAGGATGGAGGCAGAGAGCAAACTGCAACTCTAAAAGCCATGCAAATTTCATTTTTCACCCAGCTTACAAATGCTGTTGACTTGAGCCCACACACCACTTGAGGACAGAAGAGAAATATCACATCAGTTTATAAGTGCAGAAATGTAGGATGAGCTGATTTAACTCATGCCCTTCAAGAAGAACAAAGAACCCAGGTCTTGTTCTTGTGCCTTGACCATGAGACTAACTGCTCCTTATTTTCGAGATAAATTCGACGAACTCAAGTACGTCAATCCAGGTTGGGATAAGGACCAAGAATAAGATGAGGAGAGTGCCCTGTGAAATTTGGAGGAAAATCTCAGTCCTTCTCCAAATAACTGTGAGCACAGATGTTTATTAGTATTATTATTATTGTTGTTGTTGCTGTTGTTGGTTTATGTCTGTAAACCCCACAGGGATAGGTTGTTGTAGCAAGGTGCGGTTTGACTTCTTCTCCCAGGTAACAACAATAAGGCAAGAGGTAATTGCCTTAAGTTGTGCAAGAGAAGATTCAGGTTAGGTCTTAGGAAAAACTTCCTCTCAGAAAGAGTGGTGAGGCATTGGCAGAGGCTGCCCGGGAGGTGGTAAACTCACTATTTCTGGAGGTGCTCAAAAAGAGTAGATGAGGCACCGAGTGACATGGTCTAGAGTGATCACAGACAAGGGTTGATGGTTGGTCTAGATGATGTTATTGATCTTTCCAACCTTAATGATTCTATGATTCTACAATATTGGTTCATTCTGGGTCTTTAACTATACAGCAGCAGTATAAGAGGTAACTGTGGTATCAGAAAATCATTAAAAAATCTGAAATGTGGAACTTAGAAGAATCAGGAGGACTGAGCCACTGAACTGCTACATCATATTTTTCTGGAAGAGGAGAAGCCATTGCTGATGGTCTCCCAGCTGTGTTACCAGCTGTAGGAAAGAAAATTTTTTCATGTTCTGTGTAGTTGGAAGGCAATTTTCATACTAAGTGTCATCTTGGGCAGTCTGAGCCTGCCAGCCTGCCTAGCCCACTGTCCTGTGCTTTGGCAAAGAGCATGAGCAGTATTCATATGCTATCCTATATTTTTCCTTTTTTTACTAGCTGGGTAATTGGTGAGTCAAGGAGGGCTGATTTTGAGGAGTGGCTGGAGGTAATAAAACTGATGCTACCCTACCCTTGGACTGGGAAAAAAGGAAAAGTTATAAGCTAGATCTGAATGAACTTGATGCTGCCTGCAATGAGTGCCTTTTGTTTCATCAACCAGTGACTCACTTAGGAGTGTCTAATTCAGTGAGTCTTCATAAACAAAACTTTAGCATAAACAGCTCTTCTGCTTAGAATGGTATGAGGAAGAAATCAAGGGTTTGGTTCATTACCCTCCAGTGTAAAGTGCTGTGAAAGCATTCCTATCCCATTTGCTTGTGTTTTCCAGCAACCTTGCTTTCATACAGGGACTTGGCCACATGCAGGACTGTGAACTGAATGTGCTGTTATGACATTGTAAATCTTGGGCAAGGTGTTCACCAGCCAGCTATCAGCAGATCTGCCATGTTTCATATAGTCATTAAAGTTGGAAGAGGCCGCTAAAATCCTGTAGTCCAACCACCATGTTTTGTAGGTGAGAAGTGACTTCCCACGCAGGGTTATGGATGCTGAGATAACACAGTGCAGGGATCCTGCAGCATGAGGAGATCTGTGCAGAGCTGCTCACAAATGGCTATTTTTGTAACATCTTGGTAACTTTTTGCTTTGAATTTGGTCACCAAAACCAGATTGCAGTTGCTCAGGTTCTGTACAGTTCTATTCCGGAAACGAAAAGAAGAGGATTCTTCTACAGGATACTACTACTACTTGCCTCCAGTTCCCTCAGAAGCTGCAAGATTTGCATCCTTCCCTGTAGCCTACTCCATTCAGTGGGTGTGAGGCTATCCCTGCTGGCACACTGTAACCAGGAATCCAGGGAGGGTGGGTCAGAGAAAGTGCGAAAGGGATCTGACTCTGTATCCCATTAACTATACAGTACTGGGGTAACTTATTGTTATCATTATTGTTATACTATAGGGTTTCCTGCCCTCACTACAAAACTCACAGATATGCAGACTAGGTCTCCATGATCTGGGCTTTGAGACTATAAGGTGAACTGATTTCCTCTTTCCTTTTCACTCCTGCAAGGTAAATTATTTTGTCCTGCTTCAGTATTTCAGGATTTTTCTTTATGACTGAAAGAGTTGAGGTAAGGTGCAGAGCTGGGCCCAAGGCTGTAGCAGCCTGGGAAAAACGTCTTTGAACTCTTTGTGGCCCTTCCCCTGACCCCCTCTGACCAAGTATTTCTCTGTGTCTGCTATCTCCTTGGTAAGATATTTACTCTGCCAAACTGCTTTGAGACAGGCTGAAAAGAGCCCTTGAAATACTAATGGAAAAAATCATAGCAATTCTCACTTTCTAGAAATGTCAATTTATAGCCAAACTTAGGCAGTATCTGACTGTAGTTATTCATTCTAGCAGCCTGTGTGCTCTGTGGCTTTCTGCAGTGGTACTCCACAGGTTTACATTCCCAAGCTGACTCCTGAAAAGATCTGTTTTGAAAAACATGTTGTGACATATCTCAGCCAAGAACAGTTTTTACACCCTATCTAGTGCCAGATTAACTAAAAGGAGCCTAATCTTCCGCTGTTCATGTTATAGACTTGCAACAAGATGAGATTAGCAATGCTTTGTGCAGTGTGCATGCTGCACATGTAGATGTACGTATGGTGATAGCTTATTCCCCCTATGGTGAGATGGGGTTGAGAACAAGAAAAAAAATGCATGAGTTGAGATAAATAGAGTTTAATAGAAAGAAAATTAAGGAAAAATAATAATCATAATGATAAAAGAATGTACAGAATGAGTGATGTACAACTCAATTGCTCGCGAACTGCTGACTACTGTCTAGGCAGCTCCTGAGCAGCATCTGCACCACATCCTGCCAGCCAACTTCACTCAGTTTTGTAGTTCCTTGTGATGTCATACGGTATGAGATATCCCTTTGGACAGTTAGGGTCAGCTGTCTTGGTTCTGTCCCTTCCCAGCTCCTTGTACTCCCCCAGCCTCCCCTTGCTGGGAGGACAGTAATAGAAGCTGAAATGTCTTTGGTGTACTGTAAGCACTGCTCAGCAACAACAAAAACATCAGTGTGCTATCAACATTGTTCTTATCCTAAATCCTAGACACAGTACCATACCAGGTACCAGGAAAAAAGTTAACTCTATCCTACCTGACACAAGGAATACAAATCCCATTTGGGGATCCAGTTTTTTTCTTTTGGGAGCTTCCTAATTATTCTGCTGCTGCTCTCCCTGTCCTTGTTCCCTCTCCATGATCTGGCTGGTCTCTGGGCAGCCTGCTCACTTGAAGTGGACTTTTTCAAGGGTGATGTGTAGCTCCAGTTTGTTATATAGTTGCCATCTATCTAAAGCTGAGAAATCTCACTCACTATGTCTGGAGGAAGAAATGAGAAAGCTTGCCTGAAGCTACATTTCTTGCTCACAGACGGAAGGCCACCTATGATGGCTTCCAGTTACAAAATAGCTTCCATGTGATGCCAAGAATCTCTGCATGTTTACCAAGCTTTCCTCTGAGGCTGATCCAGCACAAGTGTAGGCTGGGCCTCTGCAAGCCTTGGGGCTCTTTAAAGGGCTGTTGCATTTTTGCATCGGCGGGACCACCTTCTTTTCCCATCAATGCCAAGGTGAACCTCAAGCAGCACAACATGAGCATTCAGCCACTGGCAAGCAGGAGGGAAAGCTCCAGAGCAGTGCCAGCAGGCCTTGCAGGTGCCAACTTTTTGGGTGCTATCCTGGAATATCAGAATATCCTGGAATATCCAGGGAGAGCTGAGGATGTGGATTTTGTGGGATGGCTTTCTTTTTTCATCTGGGACAAGTTTTCTCTTTTTATCCAAATTAAAATAATGAATAACAAGGACTAATTTAACCAAAATATTGGGAGAAATATTTTGACTGCAGAAATCAGCTTCAGTAGGAAAATTTTATAAACATGGCTCAAAATTAGGCTTCAGACACCCTGTGTATCGCCATGGCCGGGATTGCACTTGGCCACTCTCCAGGAACTCATTTGATACCCATGAGAGATTTCAATCTGGGAGGGAGTCCAGGCTGAGCAGTGGCCACTGACACCACTCATTTGACAAGAGTAATTTTTTCTAGCATGTTCACATAAGGGGAATATATTTTACATTTGCAATCAGAAAAACTGAAGAAACATTCTCCTCTTCAGCTGTTATATACTATTCTGGGCTCTAAGGCTATCTTGCAAAAGCAGGACATTCAGCATCACAAAAAAAACTTGTATTTTAGATGGTGTGACTCTGTTGGCTCAATAAACCATACACAATATGCTTAATACCACTGCAATTTTTCTGGCTTTGTATTCCCATAGCAAGGCTTCAAGGTCATCTGCCTTTTTTTTTGTAATCATCTGACAGGATGGCTACATTCTGTATCAGGTTCTGGTGTAGCTGAGAGAGCATCATGCTTCCCGATGACAGCTCTTGCCATGAAGCCTCACCATATTCCAGGTAATCAGTAGAAAGACATGAGGGAAATGGACAACAAACTGAGTATAGGTACAACCTACCATGTATCACCTATACTTTACTGTGCTTTCTCTGCATGATAAAGAGCCTGCACCTTGCAGTACGCATAAAGGACCAGGATATCTACATAGCAATCTAATCTCACTGCTGGGGAATGTCTAGCAGTGGGAATTGCTTCAAGATAACCAGCTAGGAACACTCAGAAGCCAGTACTCAGCTCTCCCCTCTACCACATCTTGAGGTCAATCACAAATTCTGAAAATAGAAGTTGGTACTGCTTTGCAATTGCCAGTTTTTAAATGTGGGAACTTTGCATTTTCAAGATCTTTCCCTGCAGCTTTGAAGAGGATTAAAACAGGCTGCTCAGAAAAAAGAAAAATAAAATACCCACTGTTCTGTTCCCCGCAGCCCCTGCCTGAACAGTGGAGATTGCTGCCCAGTCTGCGGAGTCCAAACCACCAGTTAGTCTGAGGTTATGTAAAGCGCTTCTGCTGGAAGAGCTCTCAATAGGAAACAACTTCATTCTTCTCAAAGAGAGGTAAGAAAATAAGGTGGCTGAAGTGACTGCATTTCGGGGTTTAGTTAAGGAAACGCATTGGACTTCATACCTCTGCTGTTGAGGGCTTTAAGCTTCTGATCTCAGGGAATCTAATTTCTAGCAAACAGAGTGACAAAAATGGAAAAGAGGAAACTCTTCACCTATTAAGGTATTTGTTGTTACTTTAAAGTAGTGAATGGAGAATTAATGGAGACTGTCTGCAGTGATCCAACAAGGAAATTAATCTAGTGTGACATTTCACACCAATTATGTAAATGGATTTTAAAGAGAATCTGTTTAAAAAAAGGAAGGAAGGAAGGGAAGGAGGGAGGAAGGAAAAGGGAGCTGGTATAGGGACTACTGTGTCCTTGGAACAGGCTATTCCTTCAAATAGATTTGATCTCATTGTGAAAGAAAGCCAGTGACTTTTCATGGCTCAAGGTCTAAATGTTGCCAATAGCTAAACTATTTATAGGCTTAACACCTGACTAGGTGTTAAATAACTGTTAGTGGTAAACACTGTGGTGCAGAATTATCACTTCAGACTGAAACCGGAATAAAATATGCAAAACTTGGAATGAATAAAAGGATTCACGTAGGATTTAGGATATATTTAAGAAGGTGCATTTAATGAATCTTCTTTAAGTTGTATGCAACCCAGCAGGATTAAAGAGTTTGAAAATACTAGGTCATTTTTTACATATATGTAAATAACGTATCTATGAATTTTCACCTAAATGTTAAAATACAGTACTAGAAAGCAGATGGGTCAAGCTACAGCAAATGCACCGAAAGTTTTACAGCATTCACTGCATGGTGGACCCCCTCTTGCTAACACAAATATTCATTTGACCCTAGTATGTTTGTTATAAAAGCAAGAGAAGAAAGTATCAAAGCTTGTTGGGTCAACTTGCTTGTTTGGAGAAGCTGACAGAGCATAGCTGACCTTAGACATGCTGGGGAGGGCCAAGGAGCAGAACTTAGTTTATTTTATGGTGTAATAAATATTTCAACATATCACAGCCCTCTTGGTTGCCTTGCGTGGTGCTATAGGGGTCACAACAAATTTGTTGAAAAATACTGAGCTATAAAACAGTACGGAGCCTCTTCTACTGCAACTCTAGTTCTCTGATAAATAAATCACAAAATGGAAGATGCACAGATTTGGAGATGTCTCCCACCATACTGCTCTGATGCAAGCATGTGCCCCAAAAACACTTTAGGGCAAGTCACAGTTGTCTGGAGGGAGAGGAGACAAATATCCAAAACCTGAGGGCCAAGGATGTTTCTGTGTGTTCTGAGAAAAGTCCTAAGAAAGGTCAGTGGGCTCTAGCTTGTCTATGTAGATTCTCGGGGTTGACTCTATCCAAATGTTGTAGGGCTGTATAGAGCCAGGAGCACCAACCAGTGACAGAAATGGGAAGAACAGGATCAGGATGCCCAGGGCGCTCATAACTACTTTGCTTGCAGTGGTGGTGTGGTAGAGCTATCCAAGCTCACTGCATCCTCCTCATGCACAGCATCTCTTCTGACCAATTTGCATGGTTGGAGTTTGCAGATCAAAGAGCTCTGTGCAAGAGCTTTCAATAGCGACAAGAACAGCAAGGTAGAAATTAAACAAATATTTTGTGAATCCCTTCAGCAACTTAATGCTATCTTGGCCTAAATCAATTCCTGAGCAGACATCACAAAAACACTGCTGCAGTGCCTGGCAGCTACATAATGCAGTCCTGACTTAGTGCTTCCAAGTATAGCTGTAGTGCTACAAGCATCCTTGTCTTTTGCAATGATGTTGACTAGAGAAGCAAGTGCTCCTAGCTCACACCATGAAGCTACACAATTCAGTTTCCGAACGGCCTCCTGAAATAATTGCTGTGATAATAATCATAATACTTAATAATGGTAAGTACTAATGTCCTGTGGTACTAGACACTAATGAGATCTGCTCCCAGACATTGTATGTAATGCTCAGGAAAGGCCAACTTGAACCAGACAGGTGCAGGCAGAGAGAGCTGAGCAGAGCGGGCAAACTAAGATCTCCTCTGGGACAAGGAGAATTTGGCTTAGTGCTAGTAAGAACATGTCCCAGGGTGGATACCACTGCTTTCTATAAATAAAGCAAGAGAATAGCACCAGAGAGAAAAAAGAGCCAGTTAATCTAAACAGCAGAGTCGGCAGCAAAAGAAATAAAGGGCCATGAATCAGTTAGAAGAAAGTTTCTAGTAAGAAGTGAGAGACCCTGGATGATGTATTTATTGTCCAAGGTCTCTCTCTTCTTACTAGATGGTAGCTGGGGCTAGGGATAACATGTGCCACCAGCGGTTCCTTTGTGCACCATCATTGCTGGGTACACCCTTCTGACTGCCCTCCAAGACTGGAGGTGCCTACATCACAGTCCGCAGGCACTGAGAGTCTTCTGGGCACTGCAAGCTCTGCAACTCCGTATGTCCAGCACTGCTCAGGCTGAGCAATTTTTCAAGCTGTACTATAGTTTATTCCTCTCTCCCTCTATCATTTCATTCAATTCTACTTCTGTCTGGTACTTTGGATAGCTTGTCTTCTCTTCACATCACCATTCTTAAAAAACTTCTCAAACTTAAAAGCTCAGTTTCTGATCTGGCACAAGAGAAATGAAATCATCAATTTAAAAGGTGAATAAGGCACCGTGTTCAGGGACTTGGGTGAAGTGTTGCCAAATTATCTAATATCCTGGAGAGTCTTATTAGCTTTCAGCAAATGACCAAGTCTGAAACAACTGACATGCCTACATTGAAAATGGAGCAAAGGGGGAGAGGCTCATGTGAGGACTGTCCCCAGGGTCACAGCTGAACCCAATAAAAGCACTTTGCAGTACAGGAAAAGACATGAGCTTCAGTCTGTGGAGGCTGCAGCAGTGACTGATCATGGTAAAACATGAAAGTCACTCATACTGCTGTATTCAGAGTGTGTACTTGTGAGAAAGAAACAAAAAGAGAGAACACTCAGGGTCCAAACCAGGACCAAACTCTGATACTGGAGCTCCTCTCCTAGCACAGAGTGGGAAAAGATGTTCACATCTTAGTGCTTGGCGGCCAGCTCTGTTCTCTGTTGGGACACAGCACCCTCTCTTTCATTTCTTGCCTCTTGGCAATAAGCTCTGCTGTGACACCATCGGCTTTGAGCTCACTGTTTAGAAACAGCCTTCTGAAACATGTTTGTACTGCTGGTCAGTATCTCACTGGGAGCCTACCAAGAAGGCTGGCTTTCAAGTCAGAAAAATCACGTGGCAAACTCCCCTGGACTTGCAAAGAGCCAAGTTGGTGTACAATGACCTTTTCTTAAAGCTGACCAAAATCTACCCAAATCTAACCCCTCCCAGTACAGGCGTTCACTTATGTGGTGACCTCAAACAAGAACAGAAGTGTAATAGATTTAAGAAGTTCCCATTTAGTCAAATTAAACCACAAGACATTGTTGGGCCATGCTAGGATCCACCATGACCTGGAGACTCATCTTGCCACAGCCTTCAAGAAGCATAAAGTGTGGAGAAACCCTTCAACTCAGTCAGAGAGCAGCAAAGAGGTGGTGCTGGGATGCGTAGGACCATCATAACCAGTGGGACTGTGGGACACTGCCACATGGGTCTGAGCTGCTCTGAGAGTCTCTGACATCTGTGGAGCTGGCAAGCATCCAAAATACAATCAGATATTTTTCCAAGCTTCTTTGTGATGCAGTTGATGCACATTGACTGATATGATCAGTGAATTATCACATGCTGGCTCACATAGGACTGACAAGATGGATGCAGGCCTAATTTCCAGAAAGATCTAAGTTTATGTGGGGTTTTTGATGTACATGGAGCATCCTGGTAAGCTCTAGATATTTAAAAGAGATGCTAGAATTACAGGATTAATCAGCTTTAAATCTGACGAAAAAAAATAAATACCCTGAGAGACCAGTGAGGTCTACTCAAGCTCTGCACTGCCAAAGAAGTTATCATTTCTCTCTCATGATTTAGGGAGCGCAAAGCAATAAGATCACAAAGGTCAATACCTTTTCATGTGAGGGAAAGCAAGGCAGGCACCAAGGTGCATCCCATTTTGGTCCTGAGGTAGGACCAGAAACATGCCATAGAACAAACAGGAGTGGTCCATAGCTGGTAATGTTACTACTGAAATTTGAAACTATGCTTTAGTTCCTCAACACAGTATATTTTTCTTCTCTGATTTTATTACTAGGTTGCTACCTTACTCTCATAATCAATAACTGCTCTTGAATCACTGTGTATAAAAACAATTTATAAAAACAAAATATCTTGATGTACAATTTTCTCAGAAGGAAGTCCCCAGATAGAAATGAGACTTGTTCCAACTTTGATCAAGCACTTTTAATCTACTGTATCCTTGGATTCCTGCCAATACACCATGCTGAGGTAATTTTCCTGATGAACAGAATGACACACATTCACCTCTCTAGGGGCCTGAACATGGAGCCAAATAACAACAGGCAAATAGATGGGAATGTCTGGGTGACCTTGGCCAGCACATGTACCATGCACTGAGAAGGCAGCATTTGATTTAAGAGTTAAAAGTTGCTTTGATTTAAGGAGATAATGCAGTTTGCTGAGGTTCTCTTACATACGAATAGGATGAAAGATTTATCCAACTTCATGGATGATGGGGATGTGAGTGATGCATTTGTTCTCTTCTTCCCTGGGAAAATACACAACAATCAATCAAATCAACCATAGCTTTATCCAGATCATTAATTTCTTACTCACTGTTTATTTATCTGTATGTTGTGAAATGGCTCTACTTCAAGAGGCATTTTGCCCTTAAGACAGACTTCATAACAGACCATCTCTATAAAACTGAAAAAGCATAGCATCACCCAAGAGCATGCAGAAAAGTCTGAACATCATACAGGGCTGCCAGGCTTTCTGGCCTCATACCCCAGTACGTGAGTAAAGAAAGAAGGACCTAGCCTTCTTTCCTCAAAGCACACAGGCTGAGAGTGACCAT